CAGTATGACTCATATCCAATTCATGTTTCTTTGGTTTAAGTTATCGTTACTTTTTGGGAAACGTTATATTCAAATTAGAAGAATTCGTCATTAGGTCAGAAAATTAGCTTTATACACGTATATTTACTGAAGAAATGTTAAAATTTGAGAGACTTGGGAGAAAGTTATGCAAACCAGAGACACTGTCGAGGGTTTGTATATCTCTTTCCTTTTAAACACTTTCTACAAAATAGAAAAAATAGACGAAGAAAAAAATTCAAGTCTAACACAACTGATAATGAAATGTCACTTACCACATTTTCCATAATTCTTAACATCATCAAAAGCAACAATGTCACGTTTAATGTATTTATTATTTCCATTTCAAAGACGTCTGCATCGCAGACCAGTGTCGCAATTTGGAGTTTGGGCCTGAGAAAGCATTTGAAGGGAAACGCCTCGTAAACCACACAATTCGCACCGTAGAAATAACAGTTTCCAGGTTCTGTGAAAACTTGTGTTATATGGAGCCCAACTGCGTCAGCATTAATCTTTATACACGGGCAGATGGAAATGGAAACTATAAATGTGAACTGAACAATGCTACTCATGAAGGACACGAAGAAAAGTTGATAGACCAAGAGATGTATTCTTATCGCGCAGCTGAGGTAAATATAACTTTCAATTTAAGATTCAGATTGGTTTATTTTGTTTTTCTTTTCAAACCTCTTAGTCTCGTGTTGACCTTAAATTACGAACTTGTGTTGTTTTCACTCTTTCAAGACATAAGCGGTAATACTGTGTCTGTGCTCTTCACCAAAATCTCTTCAAAGACAAAGCATTTCAAAGCTTTTGGAAAAATATAGAAATAGAAGAACAACTATGATGACAAGGATAACGATGGCGATGTTGATGATATTAGCGGTGCAGTTGATTATTGGATGTTGAAAATGATTATAAAGATGATAATGGTAATGACAATGACAACGGTTTGTTTTTTTTCTGTCAGAGCAATTGTGTTCAAAATCCTTGTAAGAACAATGCTACTTGCCAAAGCGGATTTACTAAGAAAGGTTATCGGTGTCTTTGTACCGCTGGATTTGAGGGTCCAATTTGCGAAAGAGGTAAACACAACTCCAATGTTGATAACTTGAGGCCTTCAGTTTAACAACAAGGAAAAACTTTGCCGCGTTCCTTGTTAATTGGGTCTCGAAGAACAAAAGAGCTTCTTCTTTCCTCATGTAGCTTAAAGCTCTCTTACTAGTCAGTAAGAACCGAAAGACAACAGGCCTATGTCGCAGTTTCTTCACCAACACAACGCGATGGCGAATTTTTGGTTTTTTCTCTTTTCTTCTCGACATCTCCCTTCTCCTTACTCGTCTTCACATATCTTCTTCTGAGCTGCACTGAAAGTGGACAGAAACAATAGTAAAATACATGAACCACAAGCAAAAAGTAGAACTTTCCGAATTAAAAAGAGGGAATATATGACTGTTTCGCGGCTACTGTACTGCTTGTGACTTACGAGGTGGCTGTTGATCGATTCATTTTGAATACATTTTTTTCAGTCTGTAAAAAGCAAAAATGATGTGTAGCGATCACGAGAAAACAAAAACTACGTTTACCCTAATAAGAAAAGTATTTGAAGGAGGCCTACCCATTTATTTGTGTATTTTTTTTTGTTCAGACATCAACGAATGTGTTCGTGGGCTACACAAATGCAGCTCTAATGCGTTTTGTAACGATACCAAAGGGTCATACAATTGCACATGCAAACATGGATTCACGGGAAATGGACGAGAATGTAAAGGTAGTTGTTTGATCTATTAACAATTATGTGATGAAAAAAATTAAGCTTATATTTGCAAATTATCCACAAAGGGATAGTAACTTACATCTCGATCCTCTCAGCAAGAAAATGTATAGTGAAACTGAACGCGGGCAGAGATATATATGGACGAAACCACATTGAAAAATTTTGGAATCAATTCGCTCATCACTGTTTGTTGGTTTCATTCATCCTTTGTTGCCGGACAGACTGTCGTATGGCTACAGAAACCTATTTAATGTTCTCAACAACAAATAAATCTTTTATACATTTTCGTCAATTGTTTGTCGGCTTTATATCTATAGACATCGATGAGTGTGTCGGAGGGTCACACTCTTGCAGCCCTGATGCCTATTGCAACAATACCAAAGGGTCTTACAACTGTACATGTAAACCTGGATTCACTGGGAGTGGAAGAGAATGCGAGGGTATGTGTTACTTTTGAGAATATTGAGCAAAGGAGGCGGATTTTCTAATTTCGAACTTTCTGATAAAACAAAAACTACGTTTACCGTGATATTAAGAACAGTATGTAAAGGAGGCTTACCTAATTGTTGTTGGTTTTATCTATAGACATCGATGAGTGTGTCGGAAGGTCACACTCTTGCAGCCCTGATGCCTATTGCAACAATACCAAAGGGTCTTACAACTGTACATGTAAACCTGGATTCACTGGAAATGGACGAGAATGTAAAGGTAAACACTGGGGTCGAAATATAGAGGAAAATCAGCTGGTGAAAAGTCTAACTACGAATTTTGATACAATGGCGATACTACTGCTCCTCTACTGAGCCTCATAAGCCTTATAAGTTTCTAAGTCCCTCTTCCGTGTAGTGTTTTAAAACGTTTGCAAACTCAGATTTTTTAAAAATCCTTGTAATGAGAAAATTATTGAATTCGGTTTTCGCATGAAATCACGATTCATTAAACCTTGTGTCTGTGTCTGCGTGATCTCCCTCGTCCTTTGGCTTCAAAAGACAACTCAAATCATGGGTTTGATAATTCAAGATATCATACTCAACCTCATCCAGTAATTGCTAACAACAATCGATCCTCTCCCGACGCTGTTTCTTATCAATGATGTATTTGAAGAAGGCATGCTGCCAAATAAAGTGAATGAAAACTGAGAACTCTTTCCAGCCAAAAAGCAGAGCTTGGAACATAATAAAATTCTTCTGCCAATCAGTCAGATTGCAGTCAATATAGTTTCCCAATGATGGATTAAGATGTACCTAAAACAAGTTCACAATTTCTTCTAATCAAAGGTATTTTTAAACTTCTTGCAGGAGCTTCCTCGTGTAAAGAAATTCATTACTTGTAAGTAAGATTGGTATTCGATATTATTTTCAGAGTACATCAAACATTCCACTTGCCGGCAATTAGTTTAAGCCCATCACGTCACCGAATATACCCCAATTTTCAAGCCACATTCCATATGCGGAGAAAGTCCTCCTTTAAACCTTGATTCATTTAAGTGGAGTGCATTACTCTCCTCAGGGAAGAGGTAAAAAATATCTTTTGCACTCGAAAACCTGTTTGATTCCAGGACAAATAACCGAGCATTGTTGTTATGAAGGCTGTTGTTTTTGTTCCGCAGATATCGACGTCTGAAGGATCAACTTTTCATTTGCTTATTTGTTAAATCATCATTATTATTATTATCACCCAGTATCTTTCCCATTGTCATTTTCATTGCCACCGTTGTAGCTATGATAATTATTTTTATAAGCTCGTCTTATTTCACCATCATTGTTCTTGTTAATTGTTGTTGTTTTTTTTTTTCATTTTGATTTAAAAGATCCAATGTGAGTGGTGTGGTTACCCTTCTTGTTGATTCCCAACCATTGTCCGTTTTCTGTCACATGGGAAATTTTGGGTGTGGAGATGGAGGATGGACGCCAGTCATGAAGATTGACGGCAGAGAGGTGCTTACTTTTATTAGATAATTCATCTCGTGTATAAACGCGCTCTCTTTCAAAACGTTGCAAGTTAAAAACCTGCGTGTTACATACGTATGCCTTTTATTTTTCATCGAGAAGATAATGCACGAAGAACAGACGTTGTTCAACGTAAATTTCAAGACTTGTTGTGTGTAGTGACTGAAAAAAAATGTCTTAATTATCCTAACATATTTGTCTCTGGTATCATGTAACAGCTAGATAAGAAATATAAACCATCGAGATCATAATTCGGTTAAAAGCAGATACACTACAGGAAGTCGACAGCAGAAAACCCATCAATTCGGAGAAAAAAATTTTTAAAATTAATTGCTTCTCTATTTCAGACCACCTTCCGTTATCGTGCATGTTATTGGAGTAATTACGATGAATTCAACCTTCGCGGTGGAGAGACTGGGTTTGACGAACAAGAATCAAAGCTACCCACCTACTGGAACACATCCTTCTCCAAGATCTGTCTTGGAATGAAGATCAACCAACAGCTCAGATTTATTGTTATCAACAGGCTGGCTGACTCTCTGCACTCGATAATTGCTGATGGCCAATACCGAAACACGTCGCTAGGTCGTGACGAGTGGAAAAAGTTGATTGGCAGCAACGCCTCTTTACAGCACAACTGTAACAAGGAAGGATTCAATGCCTTTTGTGGTACAAATTATCGTTCTAAAGTCAGAATTGGTATTGTTGGCAATGACCAGAACAAGTGCCACTCGTGCAACTCTTTGATTGGATTTGGAATAGGAAGTCCCCCTAATGACGCAAAATCTTGTGGAAACAAGGCACGCAAAGGACGCAAGAGTATAAAAGCCATGGGGTACATATTGGTGCAATAAAACTATCCTTTGTTGTTTTAAGTCCGTAAACCACGCTTGTTTCACCTTGGAGAAATCTTATTGTGACAAAACAGTCCAGGGAAACGGTCGTGAAAAAGCCCTAAATATACAATAACTACACATTTAAACTCTTAAAGAGATATGTAGATATCCCCAAATCTCTTATACTTCAATATACAAGGATATTTAAGACGTTTTTTAATGAAATATTAACGACCTCAGCTATATCAAACAAAGTTTTGAAATATTTCCGAAAAAAAAGATGAATTGTGATTAATTGCCACTTGGCTTTTATGCAACAGAAACAGCAGTGTTAGGTCCCTCGAAAGCCATCGTTCTTGTTCACCTCAAAACTTCATTGTTTTAGACTAGAAATGACTAAAACGATTCGAATATTCATCGGCATTGATGGATCATCGAGCTCAAAATTATCTAGCAGTGACAATGTCTTGCTCTTAGAGCATGGAACATTTAAATTCCACCTCTTTGAACACTGAACTGATTGATCTTGTGTACTTTTGTAGCTGGTTAAAGAGTGGAAAACCTTAAAACAGACCCGGATTCTATTGGTTACAGGTTGATGTTTTAGTACATGTGGTGCCCGTTTCTTTTAGCGTAATTTGCTAAAAATAGTTAGAGCATAGTAGTTAATTCACAGTTTCATTAAACTTTGTTGTTCCTGCAATCTTTAAAGTATCGTCTGATTTTTTCGCTGTGATTGGTCCTAGAACTGAAAGCCCCAAGATGTTGGAAAAAAATATGCCACGGCGAGTACAATTTCTGGTCGAACTTTCTGGGTATCAGATGCATCGAAACGTTTTCAGCCAAAAAACAATTCTAGTAGCATAAACAAAAATCGTAATGAAAAGTGTTGGCCACGGAGGCGCACAGGTGAAGTACAAAAATAATTATCACTCTACAAACATATTCATTTAAGCAAAACACAAAAACCAGATGACGCTCCTAGACAGAGATATTGTGAATTTGATTAGAAATTTTAAATATGTCTACAGGAAACTCGAGAATCTATTAGTTGATAAAATTTCCCGTTTTATCTTTTGAGGCGAATTTTCCTTAATAACGCACGAGTAAAAAAGACCTGAAGAGGAAATGATGTGCAGGGTGGGCAGTCCTAAAGCAGACGCTGGGTTCTATATGATCTTAAACACTCTATAGCTTTTACTCTGTGTTGGTAACGGAAATTATTTTGGCAGCAACTAAGGAATACCGTGGGTAGCAAAAAATAAATAAATAAATAAAATTAAATAATGATAAAGAGAAAACATAGTGCTTGTGCCTCCTCGTGTAGTCCAGCTGTTATCGACCAAAAAAACACTGAATTGTTCAAATTAATGATAAAAGCATGAAACTTTGCCACAACACTGACATAGGGCCAATCCAAATTAACTTTTGGTGACGAGAACCACGCATGTCAGAAAATCGCTGATAAGGAAACGAGGCTAAGAATAAAAAAAAATCCCCTTAATAAACGACATTGCTTAGGGAAATTTGCGACAAAAGCCTTCAAACATAACCACCGAGTCATTTTCTATCCATTCGTATTCATCTTATGCCATTACGGTACTATCCTCTTTGATATTTATCATAATGTTTGGGTACCCTGTGGTCAAACGTTAAATATACCTGTCTACATTATTTTCTGAATCACTATTGATAATTATGCCTGTGGTTAAACATCAAATAAACCTGTCTACATTATTTTCTGAATCACTATTGGTAAAACTTGGTTATCTTAGAAACATAAAGCTCATGTCTTTGCTTGATTTGACATTCTCTTCCGTTACTTTAGTAAATTAACGAGCTATTATAAATAATTTTTGGTTAACAGATTTGGGATGCCTGTGGTAAATTGTTCTGCTACACTTCTCTGAACGGCGCTGTAGGTGAAATCCTAAAATGTTCCCTTATCTAACCAAAATTTGACAAACGATTGATGTAATGTCTAATTCTTGGTCGATCTACTCTAATCGTTAGTGACACCGTTGTAAATATTTGTGGCTGTTAGAACTTGCCGCCACAGTTTCACAAACCGGTGCATGCCAAATTAGCCTTTAAGCACTTGCATCGTCCTTTACACGAGGCTCTGTATCCGCAACCAATGAGTTCGTGGCAAGATTCTTTGCTTGCGGTAGAGCTGTTCAGAATGGTGACCATGAGTCGTTGAGCTGCCGCCACCTCCAGTCAGATGGGCTTGGAAGCACTGGCTGACAAAGGAAGGTTGCTGTTGTGTTTTTAGATTATCAATCAGAACAAGTTTTATGAATTTTATTTTATCTCTGTTAGTTTTCAAATAATACACCAAATGAATATAATCCGTGTATCTTTACTAGATAACCTGCCAGTTGAAGAAAGATAATGAGGATGGGAAGGAGAGTTAACTAGAGATTTTCAGACTGTGTGGTGCATGTACATGTTGGAGTTACTTTTTTGTTTCAGTTAAATTTCATTTTTCCGTTGTTTTTTAGGTATGTGATGTATGATAATGAGTTTTAAATAAGGAAAAAATAAAATTTAACTGGAAACAAAAATTAACTGCAACATACTCATTTACTGTTATTTACTGTTATAACTATCTTTATTGCTAGGAACAGAAACCTCGGAAAATGGCTTAGAACTGAATTCTGAGAAAGAAAGTGATGTTGTCTCAGACACTGATGATAGTATTTCTGAAAGGAAGAGATCTAAGTACATCACAGGTGCCACGCCAAATAGTTCCATGAAAACAAAAATGGAGAAGTCATTTGAAACAGTGTGTGTGAGTCTCCGTGAATCCTCAGAAGCTGAGACGAGGAGGTAAATACAGCTCCTTAATTTCATAGTTTTCAAAATGTTTGTAGCAAGAATTAATGGAGGTGTTAACATTTTCTGGCTAACTTTTAACTAGCCAATTTAACATGCGGTAGGCTGGAACTGCTAAGATAACAGGATGAATTCCCTTCCTCAAAATTTCTTCTTTCATATCAGGTGAAAATAACCTCCCTCTACACCCCAGAGCGTACAGTTGTGAGTTAGAAAAGACCCTTGCGTCACATACACTTCCTGGCCACCCTACAAAAATATCGTGGAATAGGTAATTACTGTCTGCAAGAGCTTGCATTACAATACTGTGGTACCATTTCCTGTTGTTGTAACTTGCATGATTTTGCTATGGTGTTGAAATTGGTATATGTGTGCCATCGATTGCTCCAGCACACATGGGAAACCCCATTTCTCCTTATAATTAGCTATCACAAGAGCGAGTTCATCTCCTTTAGCAATGGACAGATACTTTGGCTTAAGTTTTCTTACCACTGGAGCGGCTACCTTGCGGATACAAATGTAAACAAAGCCCCTGGATAAACCAAACAGGTTAGAAAGCGTTCTGTAACTTTCAGTTGAAGCAATGAAGTACAAGAACAGACCCACTTTCTATTCTACTTCAACAGCTTTTCTCATCTTTGTGTCTTGCGATTTCAGTTCTGGATTAAATTATTCTATTAGAAATTGAAATGTTTCCCTGGACAAGCGAAAGTTTTCGTACCATTCTTGGTCTGAAAATTCTTTCAATACAAGCTGAAACCAAACACCTGTTCTAGGAAGCTTCCATATGGTTCTCTCGATCTTGCATTGGCTCATTATGATGATCACTAAAAGCATTGACCACTTGAAAATTTTCCTTCTCCGTTTTCTTCTAAAGCGGTTCAATATTTCTGCAGAGTTTTCCCCTGAAAAGGGAGTCACTTTCCTCATAAAAGGAAATGGTAAAAGAGTGGCAGCCATAACGTAAGCCATGTTTCTTTCCTTCGCGCACCCTTTTGTGTATTTACCTCTGAGCGATAAGAAAAGATACCGAAGGCTCAAATAAAAACCTGGTCCGGTCACCGAGAATCAGTAGTGTGAACAGTGTACAAATTACCAGGCCCTAGGGCTCTTTTCAACCCGTGTAAACGGGTTACAATCAGTAGTGTAAATGGGGCTTCAGTTTTTCATTCATGGTTAATATGGAAAATTCATGGTTAACATGGAAATGTTAACATGGAAAATGTTGTCTATCCTTTCTGGTTCACCCAGGCTGAAGTCCTGGCATTCGGCATAATGCCTGAGCACTTCTGGGATATATAGCATACTTAGCTTTTCATTAATGTTCAGTATAGGGAAGTGTTGTCTATCCTTTCTGGTTCACCTAGGCTTAAGTCCTGGCAGTTCTATCAAATCAGTGCACTCACTCAATCAAAAACACAAAGTTTGTTGTCGTGGTCCCACAGTAGTGTCATTTTATACTCAGGATAATGCCGTCACGCACAGGAACGCAGTAGCTACTTAGAATTGCCTGGTGAGAGAAAGTGTAAAATTTGTTTAAAATGCCACAATGCACTTTTCCAGTCTTTCATATTTTAAAAAAAGCCAAAAAACCTTCCCATGTCCAATTGTTGCACTGAGGCCATCGGATGCTGAATTGTTTAAATGCGTTATCAGTTATTCTCAAAAAAGTCATACACATTTAGCGCGTGACCGAGGAGAGTTTCGCTTTTATTCCCAACCGTAAAAAAAGCCTTAAAACAGGCAGTTCCGCGTCCACTAAAAGAAGTGCAAATATATAAGAGAAGAAGAACATGATAGAAAGTACGATGATAAAAAATGAAAAAGGTATTATCATACAATTGTCTTAGTTTGTTGCGAAAAACGCTTGTCGTGTTCTTGTGGATGTCGTCTTCTTGCTATTACACCGCTACGTGTTGTATTTCCGTGTTGTTCCGTCCTTTCCACAGCTCCGCTACGACGAGGAATGGGTTCCTTGGCTGTTCCTAAGACACTCTGATCATGAATGGTTCTTGTGGGTTCCGTAAAAGGTCCTTGATTTCCTGGTGCCTGCATGTTTCTTACCATATGGAGGAGTTTCACAATACAGCATGTTACCACAACCATCAAGATGAAGCAAGCAGCGTTAAGTGGCTCAATATCCATGACGGTTCAGTTCCTGCGGCAAAATTGAAGCAAGC